CACACACACACAGCTGGAAAGTTGTGGATTTACTTTTCAAAAGCGGGACTTTCCAACAATGTGCTTTCGTTTAATCTTCAGTTCGCCTTGGTTCACTTCACACAACATATTACAATCTATTGACCCCGAGTCGTTTCGAGGATTTAATCAAATGTTTTGTATTGTGTCTATCTACTACCCGTAGATGTAGGCAACGTTCAGCGCGTCCTGCTATGAGCAGCGGACGTACTGACTGCTATTGCTGTGCGATTGTGACAAATTGTTATTCAGTGTCGTTGTTATTCAAAGTTTCACAATTTGATCCAGCAATCATGATTTGGGATTTGAAAATGCAGCCGATTTTAAATCTTAGATATCTGCATCTCGGCTTTATTTCAGCTACTTCACAGAGACTGTTATAAGGAAAATGGAACATGCAGAGGTTTTATTGTGAGCTGATGGTGACTTGATGCAGTGTAAAGTAATAATAAGGGGGAAAGGCTGCTCAAAGAAATGACTGATGGAGCATACCTAACCCTAGATAGTCCTGAGTAACAAACTAATATCTAACCAGATTTGGATTTTGACATACAGTAAACCTCCACTAATGATTTGCTCAAGGCACCAAAGCTTCCTAGGGGGTCGCAGGGCCTTGTTGGTTTTAAGGCATAATAAAAAACCTGAAGAAAGAAAATTAATGAAACTGTTAAGTTAATTTAACCCAAATTACAGCAAAAATTTTAATTAAAACTAAATGAGTTTCGGAAATTAAAAAAAACATTCTTCATCAAGTAGCTTTAGTAATTTTAAGTGACCCTGACTTCATTTGGACATGTTTATTTGTTATTTGTGTATTAGAACAATGGCCAGGTATCAGGGAGAAGAAAACACTGAATTGGTAAAAAAAAAAAAGTATGGTTGTTAATTAAACATAATTGGAGGATTGTATAAAAAGTTCCTAAAAATATCAGAATTTGCACCGTCAAGCAGGTATGTTCACTGTTGGGGTTCATTGTACAGTTTATCAATTGTTCTGTATTTGTAGAATATAGTCGGGTCGTCAATTTACCTAATACTCAGAATTCAGTTTAATTCAATTTTATT